GACTTGACTGCCGCAGTGCATCACTGTCATCATTTTCCCGCCATCACGGCGCGTTTGAAATTCCTACGATGAGCCTTTGAACTTTTTAAAGGCGTGCTTGTCTGGGATTTCTGCTCCAAAATATACTCAATATGAATTACCACGTAATCTACTCACCTGATAATTTCAGAATGTTACATAAAAAACACACGGTTTAGCAACACATTGGAGAAGTCGAACAGAATGCGGAAACTTTAAGAGCTTTTAACTCCGTTACTACAAAACTCCCAGGTATAAGAGTGGTTCCATTGGTTTTCCGGTAAAATTTTCTTGGTTGAAAATAAAAATATGGCGCATTAAAGTTCAATTTTGATCAAAAATTTTACGTCCGACTTCTACAAGGACTCGTTTCACTGAGCGACGCGGCGCTGCGCGGCGGTTGCCCTGTCCGAATCCGAACGCATTACAAGCGGAACCTTGGTAGGTATACCGACCAAGCGGTTCGTCTTGATAATAACGCCAGCTGTTCTGCCATGCTAAGGAAAAACGCCGTATGAATCTTCCGGTGTTGCCAAATTTCCTTTGATAACAAACGAATTTCCTGGTAAACTTATGAATATCGCTCTTCCAATTTTTCCGATAATTTTATTCGCAATTTCTCCTAAAGTTCCTGAAAATATGAAGTGAGACCGTTAATATGTTTCCTCAAGACTACACATTTTATGAGAGGAAATTTGGCAACTCTCGAATTTTCATAAGGCGGTTATCCTTAGTACGGCAGTGTTGTTGCGACCAGATTTTATGAGTTCCAATGCATTTACGAGGAAAACAAGCAGAGAAACAGATCTCGCTTTCTTGTATCGTCGCCATTTCATTATACACAGCAGAACTCGAGGTGATCGGTGCCGGAGGTACCGCAGACAATGGCGATTTTGAAAGTTGGCAATACTGCTTTGCCTCCATTTAAAGCCATTAAATATATCGATGTTACGTGAGGCAAGTTGCCTCACCAAGAATCGATTGTTTTACACTCATTCAAATTGAGGAAAAATAGTGCTGCCAACATTCAAGAATCGCCAGTGACTGCGGATAATCTGCACTGAAAAAAAATTCTCGGCGTTTTTACCACGGTCCGTTGGTACCTTTACCATCTCACTTATTTTACCAATTATTGGTAATTTTACCAAGACAGACTGGTAAGCTTACCTAAAAACCGGTATTTTTACCGTTTTCTTTCAGGTAAGAATACCACTTTTATTGGTAGTCAATTCCCGGTAACTTTGCCATTTTATCTCGGTAATTCTACCACAGTCGATAAAAAATATTGGCGTTTTTACCAAGGTCCAGTAAAATTACCGAGAAAGTTCAATAATTCTACCGAGATTTCTTGGTAAAATTACCAATTCCATAAATGGTGATTTTACCAAGAAAAAACTCGGATCAAATAGAACCCTGAATTCTTGGTAATTTTACCCTTTTCTTAGTAAATACACCGAGATTTTTTTTTCAGTGTGAACTTTCGAACGGCGTGGCGGATCGAAAAAGTTCCATGCAAGCCATTTTTGGCAAATAGTGCGGTAGTGCGGAAAGTATAGATTCGATCAACATGAATAACAAATTTGCTAGAGAAAATTTTACCGCTGCGTCTCAGAGTGCTTAATGAGCTGCGTTCGCAGTATTTTTATAATTTCTTTCCGAAAGGTGAAACTGTAGAAAAAAATAGTTTAAAAGTGAGAAAATCTGCCACCTTGTGACGTCATCTAGCGGCGTTTCTTATCTAAACACATGTATTTCAGCAGATTAAGTCATTTAGTCATATCTCCTTTAATAATTGTTCATTTTAGAAACCAAGGATATTCTCATGCTCATAGTTCACTTGGTGGTTTCTTCTTAAAAATGAAATTGAAAAAATATTAGACACCTGCAAATTCTCCATTGAAGGGAATATAATAACGTGAAGCAATCGACGCCAAATGCGACTTTTCGCGACACTTCGATCGGTCGTGCTTGAATCAGATGCATTTTTCTGAGTTTTAATTTCTAACAGCGTTTCAACATGTCCAAAATCGTCGATTTCCTGAACCCTCGAGGTGCGGGAAAAAGTTGTTGACATCGGTGTCATGATAGGGGCGACGGCGACAGCCTCATTCATCAGTTTGGACCAATCACAGAGCTTTCTCCCAGATACACCAACCCCTAGTATTCCGTGGGGTACGGATTGAATCCCAATGATGACCCTGGTGAGCACCAATCATCCGATCGGTGAGCCCCGAAACCGCGGATCGGGCTCATGGGAAAATCTGGATTCACTGGATCTGATTCACGGTTCACACGCTCTAGTAGATCCGGCGAGAAAATTTGCTTCAATTTGCTCTGCAAATTATTAAGAAACCGGTGTCGATTCGAACGCCACGAATTGATCGAAAAAAGAAAAAAAAACGAAACGTAGACCAATCGACAGGGTTGCCAGCCAAATTATTTTTTTCCATTCCCTGACTTTTCCCTGACTTTCCAATATTTTTCCCTGACTTTTAAGTATGGATCTGACGCAGTCTCGCAACGCGAGCCCGAGACCGCCCGCGCCTAATTCCACGAAAAATCAGAAAAAAATCCCTGACCAACACCGAAATTCCCTGACTTTCCCTGACTTTTCCCGGTTGATTTTTTTCCCCTGACTTTTCCCGGTTTTCCCGGTCGCTGGCAACACACCGACAGCGACACGATCGACACTGAGTCCACGGAAAAAAATTGATCGATTGACGGGTTTGGCGACGGAATAGTTATCGATGAAAGAATTCGCTTCAGCCCACTCTGGAACAATCGGGAATCGATGGATTAAATATCGCACGGATGACGTCATGACCGGGAATCCAAGATTCGGTGTCGAGGAAAACCCAACTACCGTGATAACGAGGAGAGCAGGAAGTGTCGAAATTGAGTTTCCCTCAAAATTCGTCAGATCTTCTTTGAATGAAATCACTGAAACGGCTAAAACAGCAACAGTCTTCTCACTTATGTATGAAAACTAGTCACATGAAAAAGCCGTAAGTGCGCAAAAAATGACGTAGTTTCAGGCAAAGTAGCAGTAAGTAACATTATTTCTCCAGCGAGCCCTCTTCGCTATCACAGCAGTCAAAGGCATGCGACGTATACGACGTATAGGGTATGAGGAAGAACGAACATGCGAGAGTTGCCAAATTTCCTTGGATAAAATATATATTTTGGAGGAAAATTATGAATATTTTTCCTTGTAATGGACCACTAGACAAGGTACGAATTTAAGCATTCTAATACATGTTTCTTGACCAGAATTTCACGTAGAACACGATTTGCGCAACGAAAATTACCGAAATCCTCTCCTAACAAAGATATTAACATTTTTATTTCACATTGGTTACGAGGAATTTGAACTGCCCGCTCACAAGAAACTCAAAGCTCTACGTGAGTCAAATCGCCCACTACGACGGTTTCAGCAAGCTTCTCAATCGAGCAATGTTCATTTCCCACCATGTGTTGTTCAAACTATTAGCAATTTGCTATAGCTGAGCCAAAGCGTCAAGATTGAGGTTGCCAGATTTTTATATCGCAGAGATTGTCATGATAACGTTTAGCGCGCGATGTGAATCACGTAGAGTATCGAGTTTTCATGAGCGGGTGGTTTGAATTCACGTATCAGGAATCATTACATATCTTTGCCAGGAGATAATTTCGGTAATTTTTGGTGTGCGCATCGCGTTTTACGTGAAATTTTGATTAAGAAACACGTATCAGAATGCTGAAATTCGTACCTTGTCTAGTGGTCCATTTTCAAAAACTTTAGATCAAATTACAAACAAAATTATCCGAGAAATTGGCAGAAAAACATTCAAAAATAGTCCAGTAAATCAGTCATTTGCCAGAAGAAATTTGTCAACGCCTGAGGGCTCGAACGGCGTTTTTCCTTAGCACAGCAGTATAGGTACTGTAATGCGGCTAGCGGTGCGGTCGGGTCCGCGGATTCCTGTTGATTGATTTCGCATCGGTATCAATCGGGATCGGGCGTACGCGAATGCCGACTGCGAATTGCGAATGCGAATCGCGAATGCGCGGAATTGGCGCACGGAGTCGTGAGGAGGACTCAAGGCCCCGGATAATCTCACCGCGTTTTGCCGATCGTCGACCGGATTCCAGGATTCTGCGGATGTCTTTCGTTGTACGCCATTTCCGATGATGTCGCATGCCGTAGAGTACCTTCATAGACTAATGCCGCAATCACACGCTGAATTTAGCAGCTGAATGTGGAAGTCAAGAGTCATCGCCCAGCGGCTGAAATTCAGCAAATTCGAGTTATTTTCATCCAGATGTGTATCAAATCTACTCGAATAGTTCAGACAAATCCAACATTAGTCCCATGGCTGCTGAGAATCGTTGCTGAATTTTGCGCGTCACGCGCAAAATTCAGGCATCGGGCCGATGACTTCCAAATTCAAGCCGCATTCAGCGAGTGATTGCGACAAGAGTATGGCCATTCGTACCTTTTTACTACATACAGGAAAACTGTGCCGTGAAAACTGATTGGCCAACGAGTATTTAGGCTTCATGATGCTCTTACGGCCGTAAATAAACAAACAAGATGGCGGCTCACCGTAACATCAATAAGAGAGCTATTTGACAAAAATTTCAATTATACGGCAGTAACAATTTAAACTAGCATATCTACAAATAGCACTGAATAGCACACAACAGGACTGAAGACATGCCTAGAGCAACTGAGATGGAATTTCACTGGGAAAAAAAAAAAAAAACATTGGATCTAGAGTTCAGACTCTTGAAAACATCGACAAGAAAATATACTCTTGATTCAATCAGAATCTAGCTTAAATCAAGAGCCAAGCCTCTTAATTTAAGCGGATTTCGTTTTGATTCAAGCGAAAATCCGATTGAATCAAGAGTATTTTTCCTTGTCAATGTTTTCAAGAGTCTGGACTCTGGATCCGGTGTGTTTTTTTCCCCAGTGTTTGGCGGACTGGACTTTGTCTTACCTTAATGGGGACCCGGCGCAGGGTGGTTTTGGTAGTCCGCCACTCATGGTAGTATTCCTCCATGACCATAGCGGGGTCCGTTCCTTTGAAAAACAGGGCCTCGCGCGGCCGAATCGGATCGTCCCTTCACTTGGGCACCCGCAGGTTGCAGGGTCGTCGCCGGAAACCGAAAAAAGTTCGCTTCAACTTTGTATTCAGGGCTTAACCGCTTTTTCCGCTTCCGAACTCGAGATTACTCTGAGAAGCAATTCGTCGGTATTAGGCTTCCGTTTCTTCCCAGACTCTGATTTTTCACATCATACACCAGGAACCTCGGTTAGAGTCCCTTTATACTGAGAGTCAAGACAATGTGAATCCATTTCTGATTGGTTCCCGTATTTTAGGCCTTCACAGTGTCACAAACGGGAATAAAGATTACAGTTTCACCGATTGCAAAGATTATAATCTGGAATGGACCGGGGAATTACGGGTTCGGCAAGGAACAAACGGAATGAGGGAAGGAACGAAGAAGGGAATTTGAGAATGGGCCGATCAAAGATTACGAAAAACGTTCAATTTCTGTAATCTTTATTCCCGTTTGTGACTCCATGAGGGGGTGTTGTCTTGACTCTCAGTATAAAGGGACTCCAGAAGTAGCGTGCGAAACGCCTACTAATAATATCAGTACCTATTACGGAGGTTTTTCCTCTGTGTAAGGGGAATGATCTAAAAAGTGAAGTTTAGAAGTAATGTGAAGAGGCGAACATATTTTCACGCGCTACGTCGAAGCAAATAAATTCCGGTTCCATCATTAATCGGGCATATTTAATCAGTGGAAGTATAAATTCAGCGATTTGTTTACTTTCGATTTTTTAGTCAAAGAGACCAGAAATTGCACGTGTCTCATCTCACAAACATGTACAAAATTGACTGATTAATGCACTAAAATATATCATATTCGATCAGATGGACGGCGTTTTCAAAAATCGACTTAGTTACATTTCACGTTGCCTTTTTTTCTCTCATATTATACTTCCTTAACAGAAAACTGAAAAAATAAAATACGTAATTCCTTGAAACTTGTTAATTTGATGAATCTCCCTAGGATCATGAAAAATACTCAACTTTCACATCAGGATGCTTCTCAGTTACCTGTTAAAAATGTTATATCTGAGCGGGAATAAGACAACGTTTCATGTAGTTAGACTAGTTCTAGTTAAATCGGACCAATTAATTTAGTTAACCAGTAATTTGACGAATCTCCCTAAGATCATGAAAAATACTCAACTTTCACATCAGGATGCTTCTCAGTTACCCGTTAAAAATGTTATAACTGAGCGGAAATAAGACAACGTTTCAAGTAGTTAGACTAGTTCTGGTTAAATCGGACCAATTAATTTGGTTAACCAGTTAATTTAATTAATCAACTAATTTAAAGAAGCGGAGGGTAGTATTTCCGCAACCTGGAAGGCAGTTAAGCACGGAATAAGCAAAGTGGTTGGCACAAAGGAAAGGGAAGTAAGTAAGACAAACATTGCTTTGAATCATTGGAAATTAACATATGAATCGCCAACGTTGCATAGGCTAATTAGTACGGGGAAAACCTCGAGAATTCAGCGTTTCAGCCGGCATCTGAGTATCATTCTGAAATTCTTTGGAGCAAGATACATAAAAATTGAAGAGTTTAAATAAAACTGGACTAAAAATAAAACTAATTCAGCCGAGGCGCTATCACAGCAAATGCCACTGAACTCAATTCGAAAATAGATTGAACTTAGTCCGAGAAAAAAAACCGTTTCAGATGGCGGACCATCGGACGTCCTCAGGGGTTGGATTGTGAAAATAATAATAGGGTGGTTGTATATTTATATTTCTCAATGGCGGGTTGTTTTATTTTATTTATTCATGTTTTTAAAATTTTGCTGTGACGTATAGTTTCGATAAAATTATAGGGCCATATTGCACGCGCTATATCAGCCGTGCTATACGGAAAGGTACCGCGTGAGCCTTCACACGTTGAAAAATTTCCTTTGATAAATTGCGATTTCTTACAGAATCTGTGAATATTCTTCCCTTAATTTTTTAGAGAATTTTTTCCGTCTTCAGATTTGAATTATCGGAGAATTCCTACAGAAAATAATCATAGATCTCCTAAAATATTAACGTTTAATCGGAGAAAACTTGGCAACTCTTGAATGTTCATACGGTGTTTTTCTCTAGCACGGCAGCAACGGCAGAAATTTACCCCCGNGGGGGGGGGGGGGGTCTACAATTAATACTCAAATAGTAATGATAGGAGATGGAGGGAGGAAAATAATGCATAGCAATTTGAAAAAGCGGATGAGATACTAAACGATTATTACTAAAACCGCAAAAGCTTTGGTTAAATTTTAAAGTACACAAAGTATTACGTAAGTACTATAAGTAAGTTCAATATAAAGTACTTTGAAGTACATAAGCCATTAAGGTGATTCGATGGACGCAATATTTTGTGTCAGAACGGCATGCGATATGTCGCATCAATTGTTTCCATAATTTCAGATACTCGTCATTTTTCTCCAATTTTGAGATCGCAATTCTGTTGTCAGGAGACTAAAGCAGTCACTTACCAATTTTAACAAAGAAATTCAACGTAATAAAGGCGTGGTTTTTTCAGAGGGAAAACATCGCATTCGAGTGCAGTTTCGATAGCAGTATCGAATGCGATGTTTTCTCTCTGAAAGAACCACGCTTTAATTACGTAGAATTTCTTTGTTAAAATTGGTAAGTGAGTGCTTTAGTCTCCTGACAACAGAATTGCGATCTCAAAATTGGCAAAAACTGACGTGTAGCTGAGAAAATGGAACCAATTGATGCGATATATCGCATGCCGTTCTGACACAAAATATGGCGTCCATCGAATCACCTTAAAATGAACTTGTATAGACTGCCCAGAGTGTATTATTATTACCATGCTCCTTACTATTTTTAAGCATAGATTAAACACTCATTATTATTTAAGTACTGCGTGACGAGAAATAGTCATTAATAAGGTTCAGTCATTCAGAAAAAGACAAAAACCAGGGACGTTTTCTTTCGTTAAAATAATGGTAAGGGTTAGGGTAAAGCTCGTTAGCTACCTTTCCGACTGTCGAAATGGTCAGAATAAAATTGCAATTGTATATGGTTTTGACAAAATGTTTTAGATTGTGTATAAAATAATCGGACTACATTTTGCAAGTCAAAACTACGATCACTAGCTCATTTTAGAAAAAACAAATATGCCATTAAATCTCCTATGCAGATGGGTGTTTTAATACATGGGTCAGGAATTATAGTTACTTATTTCAAAATACAGTCAAACTGTTGGTTCTCGTGTGCAGGAATGCACAGTGATTCTGATTTAAAAATACAGTAAAAATAGCCGAAATATGAATTGGAAAAACATTTTTTTTGTTAGGCACACTATACGTCTAATTAAATATGTGTGCAGCGGAAGGGTACAGAACTACGTTTTAAGGAAAATTATACGTTAGATTTGCAGTTAGATTTAGGCTCTTGTTACTTGCATGAAACTGGATGAATTCTAAAATATGTTGGTTCAAAACTGGTCATACTAGGTTAAAGTAAAGATAGGTAACCTAAACTGCATAAGATATGAAGTAATTGGAATGTATTCACTAAGTACTAGGAATGCAGTGACCGGCTGGGTGCAGTTTCCTAGAGAGTTTTAAATATGTAACAAGGTGGTAAATGTTTAAATATATGGATCTTCAAATTTATTTAATTTTATGCTACATATTTTTACTCACTTGAAAAAGTGCGTACGTGCAAATAAATGTGTCTGTACCTTTTACGATGAATTAACATCCTTGCTTCCGAAATTTTAATCTGAATCTTAGTATTGGATGTTGTGTAATACGTATCATTCGTCCTATTTTAACCTAAACTTTAACAGTTAGTGATAAACCAAACATTCCAAAATATCCTTCAGGAGATAATCGTGTGAAATCCAAAGATCCAACTACACACGCGGCAAATCCAAAATAATTTTGCACACAATCAGCAGAGGAAAAATTGCGATTTCTTCCTTGTTTTACTTCATTTGTAAATTAACAAAACCCAAAAAGTCAACGATTTACGTCAGAGGATAATCATGTCAAATTCCGACTGTATGATGTGAAATCCCAAATAATTCAGCTTATAATCGAGAGGAGTAAGAAAATTGCGAAAAAATGAAATTACAATGAAACCGCGAATCAGAGTCACCGGAAGAAACGGTCAACCACTCGGGACGCGAGAGACACTTTCCGGGGGGACGAAAAACCGCAAAAACTAATTGAAAGGGGTTTCGAAAATTTCCAGCACGTTCAAAAATTTTTTGCGCGAAATTCTCGAGAGCGGAGACCGGAGCGTAAACGCCTCAAAATCAGACCGGGGACTGCCTTCCGAGTCTCTCGGGTCCAAAATGGGGAAGAAGCCCCCCCCCCCCCCCCCCCCCNGGGTCCTCGGCATGCTGGAGGGTTCACGGGAATCAAAACAGAAATATATTCGGAAATTTATGAAAATGGGCGAGAGACGACGAAGAACAGCGGCGTTGCCACTCCACAGCGCAATTCTATTTATTGATTTAAGAGCGTAATTGTCGGTTAATAACTGAATTTTGTCGCAAATTTGGCAGAAATGCAGGGACAGTGGGGGAAGTGCGTCAAAATGATGTTGCCGGCTCAATCGAAACAAAGAATTCCGGGAAAGGACAGAATTGAGCTGCGGGCCGATTATTGAAATTGATAGACAAAGCTATAGACAAAGAAGACGAAAGAGATATGGAGAGATCCTATTGGCGGAAACGGGTGGTTGCAATGGAGAAAGGAGGTGGGTAATAGACTAACTTCCGGCAACCCACGAGAGACCCGACAGTTAGTCTATCATTTTCTCTCTTTGTCTATAGGAACCACCCATTTCAACCAATAGGATCGCTCCATACTCCCTATGTCTTCTTTTTCTATAGCTTTGTCCATCAATTTCAATGATCAGTCCGCAGAAAAGAAGTAAAGCACAGCAGTCATTGTCAAATTTCATTGAGGTGATCTAATTTTTAACAGGAAAACGGTCGTGCGCAGTATTTTAAGTATTCCGAAGGATTTCCTCTTTGACTTGAAACAAATTCCTTGAAATTTTTGAAAGAACCCGTACAACTGTCCTTTACTGGAAAACAAATTGTTTGATGAAATTTGGCGATGACTGATGTGACTTAGTTCCTTTTTGTTAAAAGGGTCTATTTCATGTTCGTGTGTTAAAATTGAGGCGTTTAGTACCAGGTGTCGTACAATGACACGGGCTCCTCGAAATTTACGATGACAAGATCTATAAAAAGGTGTCTTTCAGTTTTAAAAAAATTGACTTTGACAGGGTTAGAGAAACTGCACAACGCTTTGTGAAAAGGAACCGGTAAAATTACAAAGCTGCTGAAAGCAAAACAAAGCAAAAAATGAAATTCACAGGATGATACATCCTCGTTCATTTGACATTTTTTATGCATATGCAGAAGGGAACTGTTCAAGGTTTCAGATTTTTCATGCACGACAAATAGAGAGGTTGCATAATCTTAGGAGTATTACCTACACTTCCAGCAAAACTTACAATTAGTCTAAGTGCAAATGAGGTGCAGATACTATAGAGATACTGTACTTTACCTTAAAGCCTAAATACACACGGCGATTAATCGCCGCGATTCAAAGACGACAGCCAACGAAGAGCCTTGATTTCGATCCATTGACGTCGATATATCGAAATCAAGGCTCACCATTGGCTTCCGTCTTTGAATCGCGGNGAGGGGCGGAGACAGTCGGCCGGTCTAGTCTATCGTTGAAGGGATGAAGAGTAGGTATTGGCCCAGTCGTTACCCCGTTACCCCGTTTTCGCCCCTCACCCGCCACTTTTCGTGGCGTGGACTATAATCGCCGTGTGTATCCAGGCCAGAGGAACGTAACTACATTTCATTGTTGCTAGATTTCCTCTCGTAAATTGCATTTTGTAAGGAGAATCTTGGACATTTCTGTCAGAAGATTTCACTAACTTTTCTTCCGATTTCACGCAAAAATCAGACAAATTTTAGACAAAACTTTCACAGATAGGTTCTTGTACAAAATTGAAGTGTTTGAGTCGATTTTGCAACCGTGGGACGGAGTTATACGTCTTTTCCTTCGAAAAACGACGATATTTAGGTATACGCTGCCCATGCGTTGTCTCAAGGCACACATTTGAAATTTTCGTCCCGAAATGGAGATGTTGCATGTGTGAGGATTTGCGATTTGACTGCTATTTCTTATGTAAAAGTTCGCGAGAAACACAATGGTGCCACTGGTTTTTTCTGAAATCAACTCCCAAGCGCAAAAAAAGCTCTCAAAGTGAGGCCAAAATGGAGGGGATATCCCACCCTCCCCTGAGAGTCCACCTCCACATCAAAACAAACTCTCCGTGCAAAGATAGGGAGCAAATACATTGACAGGGCTGCCACTTTATTTGAGGACTCAAAAACTGAAAACACGGCAACCCTGCTAATGTATTTCCTCCCTATCTTTGCATGGAGAGTTTGTTTTGATGTAGAGGTGGACTGTCAGGGTAGGGCGGGATATCCCCTCCATTTTGGCTTCACTTTGAGAGCTTTTTTTGAGCTTGGGAAATGATTTCAGAGAAAACCAGTGGCACCATCGTGTTTCTCGCGAACTTTCACATAAGAATCAATGGTCAAATCGCAAATCCCTCACACATGCAACATCTCCATTCGGCGAAAGTAGGCGATTTTATAACTCATTGTCAGTATTGATGATAATCGAATTTTCCATGGAAAAATTAACTTAATGTTTTTCATTTTAATTACAAGTTATTAGTTCATCAATTCCGTAGAAATCCTTCGATATTCGAATAATTCTCCTTAAAACTTTCATTTTTCTCCCTTTCGTCTCTAATTTCCTTTACGTAAAATTTGAATGAGCTTAAAATCCAATATGCCACACATCAAAATAGAATTATACGTATACGTAAAACGTAGACTCACTGCTTACTACACTGGTATGCGCTGATTGAAAGCTCAACAGAGGAATATTGAACATACCTGGAACAAAGAGATAATAAGACACAAGCGTTAGAATGATCGGTCAAAAGTTCTGAATGCATGAATCTTTACAAAATTAAATTCACACTATAAGTTTTGCAGATCCTTGACTCATTAAAGTAAAAACCTATGGTTGCCGCCATCCCCAAAATTGTGTAGTGATGATTAAAAAAAACAAAAACAAGCCAGCTCTACACACAGATTTATGCATGAAGTCACGCAAACCTTGGGTCCCCGTCTCTTTCCCCCAATGGCGATCGATTCGTGGAAGTTGGCAGCACCTTTTTTCCTCCACTATGTATGTAAAACAATCTATTCCAGCGGGGCGATTATTGAAACTGATGAACAAAGCGGTAGACAAAGAAGACATAGGGAGTATGGAGCGATCTCATTGGTTGACATGGTTGGTTCTTATAGACTAAGGAAGAAAATGATGGACTAACTGTCGGGTCTTTAGTGGGTTGCCGTTACTTAGTCCATTACCTACCTCCTATGTCCATTGCCACCACCTGCTTCCACCAATAGGATCCCTCCAAATCCTTTTTGTCGTCTTTGTCTATAGCTTTGTCTATCAGTTTCAATAATCGGCCCGCTGGTGAGGCAGCTACTTAAAATCGTTATTTTTGATGGATTTAAATGGAGCAATTATAGTGTTGCCAACTTGCAAAATCGCCACTGGCCTCTCTCATGTATTTCGTGAACGAGGCGCCGCGCGGCACAGTGGATCGAGTCAATTAGAGAGGTCGGACATGAACTTGTTGACTAAAACTACAAATTTTCATGATTATTTCGTCACATTTTAAATTTTAAGGGGGTCAAATGGAAAAAAAACTCCACGAGAGAAGCAATGGAACCACTTTTAGAACCTCAAAGTTTTGTAAAAACGGGGTTATGAGCGTTTAAAGTTTCCAAATTTTGTCCGACCGCTCCTGATGAGACGATCCACTGTGCGGCGCGGGATTAAAATGAATCCTCCCCGGCGGGGAATCGAACCCCGGTCTCCCGCGTGACAGGCGGGGATACTTACCACTATACTACCGAGGATTGCCGGTGAGCGGCAGCAAAATTTTACGTCTCGTGTCGACGTCGATGCAAACTAGAGAGGCGGCTGGCTGTCCCGAAAGTTTACGGCGAGGGATTGCATAGCTCACAGGGGCTCACAGAGTGTGAGCCAGCACTAGCAGGTGATAATCGAAACACCGTTCGCGTGCGTGATAGCAGTGGCGTGGCGTGCTTTGCGATATATCAAATGATCTGCCATTTAAACCTATGGAAAAGGGTCGATTAACAGGGTGCTCGCAGCGAACACCTTAATAATCGATTCTTTACCATAGGTTTAAATGGCATAACAATCGATATATCGCAATTCACGCCACGTGATAGGCAGATGCGAGAGGTGAATGATCGACTATCGATATTTCCCCATTTGGAGCTGTGGTAAAGAATCGATTATTAAAGCGTCTTCTCTCCCGGATTCAAGAGAAATTTCTTCTTGGTGGCAAATTCAAGAATATTTCTGCCCGAATCAAGTCACCTTTTTTTTCCAGAGTAGAAGTCTGCCGTGCTAAGGAAATACGCCGTTTAAACATTCGATAGTTGCCAAATGTCCTCAAACAAAATGCTAATTTTTAAAGAGCGTTATGAATACTCTCTCTTGAAATTTTCAGATAGATTAGATCTAACTGCGAGCAAAATTCTCTGAAAATTCAGAGGTAATACATTCATAGATTTCTCTTAAAATGGAGATGTTGCATGTTTGAGGAATTTGCGATTTGACTGTAAAAGTTCGCGAGAAACACGATGGTGCCACTGGTTTTCTCTGTCATCAACTCCCAAGCTCAAAATAAGCTCTCAGGTTGAGGCCAAAATGGAGGGGATATCCTACGCTATCCTGAGAGTCCACCTTTACATCAAGACAAACTCTCCATGCTAAGATAGGGGGTAAACACATTGACAGGGCTGCCACTTTATTTGGGGACTCCAAAACTGAAAACACGGCATCACTGCTAATGTATTTGCTCCCTATCTTTACATGGAGAGTTTGTCTTGATGTAGAGGTGGACTCTCAGGATAGCGTGGGCTATCCTCGGCCATTTTGGCCTCAACTTGAGAGCTTTTTTTGAGCTTGGGAGATGATTTCAGAGAAAACCA